CGCCCAACTTCGGGCCCCAGGACCCTCAGAGGTCGATCTGGCTCGAAGAATGACGCAGGAAATTGGGGTCTCGACTTCCGGTCGCGATCTTCCGCGATGTTACAATGTTTGTCACAACGTCGGCTCTCAGGGGTTCGCGCGGCGCCCTCGGAAACCCAACAGTCCCAGGGGACCAGACCAAGAGACGGATGCCAGACCTCGGCGTCCTCGTGGGCCAGGCCACGGGAGGGGAGCCCCAGAGCCACGAGGCGACAGACCCCGAGGCGGCCTCGGACTCCAACAGACTTCGCCGCACGGTCCGTCGCCGCATTGGTTTTGGGACGTGGGAGGCCCAAGTCGCCAGGCGAGACATCCTCGGGGAACGACCCCAATCCCAAAACCGTGAGCTCACTCCGACACGCCCTCGGACTCACCCGACGGTGTGGCCCCTGACGCACCTTGCCCTGCGCGGCCGACTACTGAGAATCCTGGGAACATCGGCGCAGACCTCTCTCCACGGACAAATCATTACGTCTGCCTGCCGGGTCTGGGCTGGGCTCCCGCCAGCGGACGCGCCGTCTTCATACTTTTGCCATGCCCACGGGCCTGCCATGGTTCCCCTAACGCTTCGCATCGTAAGAAAAACACGGTGGGATTTTGTTGGCTGACCTCGGACCCTGGAGGACATCAACCAAAACTGGGGCCGTCAAAAAACGACTCTGGATGCAGTGCAAGGAAAGGGTCTCCACACATGTGGAGAACCAAATTGTGACAAACAACGCAATTTCTGATGTAGACGTTACCTACCCATTCTGGTCGATACAAACATAATAAACGGAAACAGTCTTATTCGGCGCGGCGTAACATCTTGCCAGATATGGGCCCCAGGAGGCGCAGGTAGACGAGCGATGCGACTCGCGGGAACTTGCGCCGTCGAGAAATTCAAAAAACTCCGCCCTCGAGCAACCCAAACTCCCAACACATCCGACGTCGTGACTTCTTCACAACGGGGATCCCCAGAGATGTTTCACAACGTGGCTCCCTGGGAACCCAGTGTTGCATCCCCTCGGTCGGTTCTCGCCGGTCCCGCGGCCCGGCGAGGGCCCCCAAGGGCCGAACCTGTTAAAAACGCTCACGGTCGTGACTCGTGCTCGCGTCGCAAACAGGTCAGGGGCCGTCGAGGGCGAGGAATCACAACATGTCACAAGCCTTCGGAATGAGAAACAAGGCCCGCTACTTTTTTGTTTTCGCAACGCGTTAGTGGCCCTGTCACTTCGCGAATCAAATTTCCACTCGGCATACAACAAAGACCGCACGAGCCGACCTGCAACAAGCCAACTCACGCCATGAACCATGGCCTGAACAACACATCGGCAACGCAATCCCACCTGCTCTCTGGGCGTAGGTGGTCGAACGAAATTATGTATTTCCCCCTCCCCCAGGCGACTGGGAGCCAACCAGGGACAATGAGGGCCCCCACCACCACCATCCTTCGTAAAAAACAATATAAACCACACTCTGCCTCCGAATTCGGAGCATGCGCAGCGAACCCGATGCGGCATCCCCCCACCATCCCTGTCAAGAAAAAAACAGAGTACACTTGGCGGCGGCGGCGGCGGCGGCGGCTGCGGCGGCTGCGGCGGGGGCAGCGGCTGCGGTGGCTGCGGCGGGGGCGGCGGCGGGGGCGGCGGCGGCGGCGGCGGTGGCGGCGGCGGCGTCTGCAGCGGTGGCGGCAGCGGCTGCGGCGGCAGCGGCTGCGGCGGCGGCGATTCGTCAGCGGGGGCGGCGGCGGCGGCGGCGGCGGCGGCGGGGGCGGGCGGCGGAGGCGCGGCGGACGGCGGCGGCGGGCGGCGCGGCGGCGGCGGCGGCGGCGGACGGCGGCGGCGCGGCGACGGCGGCGGCGGGCGGCGGCGGGCGGCGGAGGCGGCGGCGGCGGCGGCGGATTGGCCCCCAGTAGCTGCCCATCCAAAGACGACTGCTGAATATGCTGCGGCTCGGGCCAGGCTCGGGTGCTACGTATGTGTTGGGAGGGCGGGTGGGAGTGAGCGAGACGGCTTGCGGCGGGGGAGGATTGATCACTGTTCCCTATTAATAAACACCCCCTCCCCCAGGCGACTGGGGGCCAACCGAGGTCCATGTCGACACCCCCACCATCCCTTTTTTTTTTCTACTATATATATTATATATATAATATATATATATATATATATATATGTATATGTATATGTATATAACAAAAAACACTTGCTTCCAAATTCGGAACATGCGCAGCCAACCCGATGCGCCCCCCCCCCCCCCCACCATCCCTGTCAAAAAACAATGCAGAGTACACTTGGCGGCGGCGGCGGCTGCGGCGGCTGCGGCGGCTGGCGGCGGCTGCGGCGGCTGCGGCGGCGGCGGCGGCGGGGGCGGGGGCGGCGGCGGCGGCGGCGGAGGCGGCGGCGGCGGCGGCGGCGGTGGCGGCAGCGGCAGCGGCTGTGGCGGCGGCGGCGGTTTTGGCAGCGGGGGGCGGCGGCGGCGGCGGCGGCGGTGGCGGCGGCGGCGGCGGCGCGGCGGCGGCGGCTGAGGCGGCGGCGGCGGCGCGAGGCGGCGGCGGGCGGCGCGGCGGGGCGGCGGCGGCGGCGGCGGCGGCGGGCGGCGGCGGCGGCGGCGGCGGCAGCGGCGGAAGCGGCGGCGGCGGCGGCGGCGGCGGATTGGCCCCCAGCAGCTGCCCATCCCAAGGCGACTGCTGCATATGCTGAGGCTCGGGCCAGACTCGGGTGCTACGTATGTGTTGGGAGGGCGGGTGGGAGTGAACGATTGCGGGCGGGGAGGGGGTAACTTGACCCCTCCCCCTACCCCCTCTCCCCTGGACCTGGACGGGGCGTCTCGCGAAGTGGCAGGGGAGCCGATCGGGACCCTCCCTCTTTCATCGGTCGCCTCGAACATGGCCCGAAGTGTTGCTCCAGGGCTCTCAAGATAACCCCAAGAAAGCCCCAAGAGGGCCCCACGAGGGTCCCAAAAAGGCCCCAAGAGGCACCCGAGAGGCACCCAAGAAACCCCCGAACGGCCTCAGAGAGCCCAGTATGACCTCCAAGATGGCTCTGATAGCCCAAGCTGGCTCAATCTGGTCCCCAAGATGCTCCAAACGGCCCAAAGACCGCTCCAAGAGAGCCCCACGAATCGGTTTGCTGGCTCCTGACGGGGGAGCTGAGTCGGTGACCCCCCCATCCTGCATTCGATGGCCACCAAGATGATCCCAAGAAACCTTCCAGGGTTACCAAGAAGGTTCCAAGAGGCCCCCTTTTAACTCCAAGAGGGCAGCAGCAGCAGCAGCAGCAGCAGCAGCAACCGCATGAATACCTCTAGATGGTTCCGTGAGCCCTCGTCCGCATCGTCCTTCTCCTACTCCTCGTTCTCCTCGTCCTCATCCTCATCCGCGCCCTCGTCCTCCTCGTCCTCCTCGTCCTCCTCGTCGCCGTCCTCCTCCTCCTCCTCCTCCTCCTCCTCCTCATCATCATCATCCTCCTCCTCTTCCCCTCGCCCCCACGCGGCCCCCATGGATGGCCCGAAGAGAGTTTCCAAGGCCACCCCGGTTCACCCTGGTTGCTCGCTTTGTTTCCCTCGATGTGTCTCTTCGTCCTTGTTTCCCCGTCAGCCCTCATGGGCAGGGTTTCTGAATGGGCTTGTGGGGATACTGATCCGTCGCAGCCGCAAGCGAAGGCGCATGCGGCGTCAGAGGTCAGACCAGGCAAACTGGTGGGGATACGCGAAACGTGAAACATTGTTTTGCACGCGTACGGTAGGTTCGTACAGCGTCGACACGCGCAAAAGATTGTGGCACCGCATAAATCAGTCAACCCTGCGTTCATCGTTGCCTCCATCATTCAAGGTTGAATCCCGTCGGGCCCAGAGGCGATAACGCGTACCTCGGTTCTTCCGCGTCACGGACTTCAACCTTGAACGCCTCCGAAGGCGTCGCTGGTGCGCCCACGCCGCATGAGCCTACCGTAGAAGAATACCAACTACATAAACATAAACTTGTGGAGCTTCGCGCGAAGTTCCTGGATTTGCGCTGCCCCCCCCCCCCTGGTGCGCGGAGCGCGCCAGGGGCGGCGAGAGGCGCCGTCGAGGGGGCCCAACGCGGATCCAAGAAATCCGCGCGGAAAACCAACGGTTTATGTTTATTCCGTTTTTTGTTCCTCGGTACCGCACGAATGTCCCCCACGGCCAGAACGGCCAACGAGATCTTCCACACGCAGCACCGCTCTACCCTGGATGAGGGCGCAGAGAAGGGAGGAGGAGGAGGAGGAGGAGGAGGAGGAGGAGAAGGAAAAAAAGGAGGGGGGGGAGGAGGAGGACAGGTGGAGGAGGAGAAGGAGCGAGCGCCCCTGTGGGCCGGAGTCTTCCTTCCGCGCCTATGCGGGCCACTGCGCGCCCTCCGAGGCCCTCAGGGGCACGGCGTCGCTGGCGAAAGTCGGAGCTGTAGCCGGCGGTCACGAAGGAATCAACGTCATTGGACGCCTCATCGAACACGGAGTTCGGAGATTCTGTGTCAATCTCCGCGCCCGGAGGGGCAGCAGAGACGATGGCACGGGGAGCCCCCGCCGCGCCGGCGAAAGGGTCGCCGATGGAGGTGGGGTTGTCGACCATGTGCAGGAGGTCAACAAGTACGAACGGCGACTTGCAGCAGCATCGAAGCGGTAGTAACTCACAGCATCGGAAGTGAAGCGCCCCTGGCACCACCTGCTCACGAAGGTGCACATCAAAGTCGGCCGCAGCAGGAGGATGAGCCTCACCTGTCATATCATAGTTTGCTGCATGCGTTGCCTTCTTCTCCTTCTGCTCCTTCTTCGCCGTCTTCACTTTCTCGCGCCGCTTGGCATCGAAATGCAGGATCTCCTCCTTGCCGAACGCAACCTAGCGGCCACTCTTGCGCGACTTCGACGGGCGGACGTCGGAGCAGGACGCAGTCGAAATACTTTCCAGAAGTCCCGCAGAAGGCCTATACGAATAGCAAGCGGGCTCAGCAGCGGCAGGACCTCAGCTCCGTCGACTGGATACGGAAGCTCAGCAGGGTACGTCAGCAGCCTCGTCTGGTGGAGGAAGAAGCGCAGGAGGAAAGGGGTCAGCAGCGGCAGGACCCGTAGCAGCGCAACCGACATGAGGCAGAAGCCCTGCGGGAGGCGGGAGTACTGAGAGTACTCCAGAAGCGTCGACAGGCGCCGGCAGAAGCGCAGGGAAAGCGCGATCAGCAGCGGAAGGGCCCTCAGCGGCGCCATCGACAACAGAAGGGCCCAGAAGTCCAGCAGGCACATCTCGATCATGCAGGCGAGGCGGCGGACCACAGTGTCCATCATCCTCGCGACCCCGAGGGCCGTCACGCGCAGTGCCAGTTTCAGCAAGGAGCGCCATGTAGAGCGAGTCCTCGTCATCGTCATCGCTTGCGTCCAGCGGCGGGGGCTGAATCATCTTTCCTTTGCGGTTTTTGTCGTGGTTGTAGCAATTGAGAGACGCAACCTTCATCAGGAAGGCCGTCACAGACTTTAGCATATTGGAGAACTTCACGTGCACCGGCGGCGCCAGCGTCAGGCGCTGGATCGGCAGATTGTCCAATCAGGGCGTGCACATCTAGGGCAGTGCGGCCGGCAGCCCGCGCCAGCCAAAGTTCCACTGTCATAGGCGGCAAAGGCGCGCGTGTTCAGCAGCAAGTGCCTTGACAGTCAGCTCTGTCAGGTGGAAATTGTTGTTGCCATCGCCGAACGCACAGTGCGGATGGTAGCGGCATGCCGATCGACTAGAGATCCTCGGGCCCACTGGGAGGACCTTCAGGCAGTAGAAATCGCACGCAATACGAGCACGGCGCCAATGGAGTAGGGCAGCGTCGGCACCAGTAGCGGGCAGCTCGGCATCAGCATCCTGTAGAGTAGCACTGTCATACGCTGAGCCTGTTCCAGCAGCCTCGTCGCCAAGAAGATCCAGCCGACGGTCAAGATCCACAACGGGCTCCCGAACACGATCCTCGAAAATGCCGAGCTCCGTCTCGAAGTCTATGTCTAGCAGGAAGGGGTCATCGCCCATGGGCACCACGGGCGCCGTGGCGTAGCCCATGGAGCAGTGGGCGCGCGGGGATAAGTCCGCGCTGTTGTAGCTCGTGGTGTAGTCCGTGGCGAAGTCCGACTGCGACTGCGGCCAGTGCGCCTGCACTGAAGGGCCCTCGAACACAGGCCAGTAGACGACAGGATTCACCAAGACGTGGCAAAGCATGGTCAGCGCTTTCAGGAGCTGAGCCATGTACGGGATGAGGAGGTCGGTCGAACTCGTCACGTCCTCCGTCTGCGTGGAGGAGTCGATGGAGAGCGCCGTCTTGTCGGCGACAGGCGAACCAATGGAAGACAGCGCAGCGGGGGCGGCTAGCAAGGGGCCAGGTGGAGGAGAACCTCTCGCAAGGACGCCGTGGAGTCGGCGAGGAGGTCATCGTCGCTGTCCTCAATATCATCCCAGGCCGTGAGCACGCTTTGCACACTCAGCTGACGCAAAGGCGAGTTGTGCTTGGCCGAGTTGGCCAACTTCCAGACCCGCAAGTCGGCACGCAACTGATCGCGGTCGACGTGCCCAGAGCGGCATGCAGCGAGGGAGGCATCCCGCGCCGAGTGCGTAGGAACAACAATCGGAGCTTCCCGCTGACAGTGAAGCACCTTGCCTGCGATTCTTCGCGTCCGACTTGGAAGCCCTGTCCACCTGTACGACGGCGGAGGCGACGCCCTCCAACGGGCGGAAGACAACGCGAGCTGCGGGGCGCTCGCGACGCCGATCAGCTGCCAGAATGGTCCGCTGCCGCCAGCCACTGCGGGTAGTGCACAAAGCAGCGGAGCTGCTCATGCTGAAGAGGAGCCACAGAGCGCCCAGGACGGCGATGCGCCGAAGACGGCGTGCGAAGCCACGGCACCCGATACTCCCTGCGGACAGAAGCGGCGCGGGGCGCGCGGGCGCGGGTGCGACTTGAGCCAAAATGGCTACGGAGGAGGAGGAGGAGGAGAAGGAGGAGGAACAGGAACAGGAGGAGGAGGAGGAGGAGGAGGGGGAGGGAGAGGAGGAGAAAGGAGAAGGAGGAGGCGGAGGAGGAACGCCCCTCTGCGTGCGCTCCGGCGAAGGGCGGCGCCCGTGGGCTGGGGCCGCGGGGGCGTCCTCTCCGCCTCGCCGGGGTCGTCCCTGCCCCGCCCGACGCGCCGCCCCGCCTGGCCGGCTGCGGCCACGGTGCGAGCCGCCGGCAGACTTGCTTCGTTTTCGGGGGGGGGGGGGGGGGGGGGCGAAGGGGCAGGATAGGATAGAAAAGGGCAGGGTCGAGAGTCAGCTCTCTTATAGCTGGTTTCCCTGGCGCGACGTGGCGCCGGGAGGCGCCCATGCATCTAGGCATGGGCCAGGCGGTGGGTGGAAAACAGCTGCATGCAGCAGATTTCGTGCCCCCCCCCCCTTTCCCTACCCTACCCTTTCGTCTGGCCAGATGGTTGCTTGCGCAAAACAAATTCAGAGGCCCGCGCAAGCTTCGCTGATCGCGCCAAGGGCGGCGCCGGAGACGCCGTCAGGGGGCCGCCGAGCCGATCCGAGGAGTCCGCGCGGACCTCCGAAATTTTCTGTTGTATCCTTGCTTGTGCCCCTGCTCTAGGCCCGGTCTCTGATTCCCGAAGGCTGTTTTCTCCGCACGGGGCTCGACAGCCACTTCCCCCCATGGGGTGTGGGACGCTCGGAAAAAATGGTTGTACCCCTGCTCCTGTGGAAGGCGCCCCCACAGCATCACCACGCCTGGCCAGGGATATCCCAGAATCTTGCGTGGGTTAGCCTCTGGAGACCGTTTGTCTTAGTCACTCACCTATTGGTGGAACCCCAATATGTCAAGAAGTTTGCCGCAAAGAGGATTAGTTTCAGAAAATTAAGGGGGACGTCTAAAGACCTATCGAGGTTGCATGCGCCCTCCTGGCCAGGAGGCTCTACAACACCACTGTAGTGCCATGGACGGCCATTGCCAGGGATGGCGATGGTCCAAAAGACCACAGATGCCTGATCGAGACCTTGCTCCCCCCCTCCTCTCCAACAAGGCGAGCCAAAACAGAGAGAGAGAGAGAGAGAGGAGACGGAGGCAGAGGAGGAGGAGGAGGAGGAGGAGTAGGAGGAGGGTTAAGAGAGCCATCCACGCCTCTCTGTTTATCTGTTAATCTTGCTCTCTCCAACGTCCTCCAGACTTATCACTTGGTTGTGGCCTCGGCGACAAATGGCGCGCCGAGTCGGAAACTCATAACGAGAGCGCCGATCTTGCGAATGCAGTGCCGAGAGCTCCAAACACAACGAGTTACCTTAATAACCTTGCAATTTCAGGCACCATCCCATCGAACGCGCTTGGCCCGAGGGAGGGTGATGGAGGCACACTCACAAGGAACTGCAAACGTGAATCGATGCAACCGTCAATCGCAAGGCCCAGGGCTCAAGCCGTTGAGCATGCGCGGAGGCGCACGAATACCAGCCATAACCTCCCCTGCGAGTCACTCTGGCGACTACGCCTTAGCCTGCAGCCTGCGTGGCATCGCCTCGCTCAGCGCGCGCACTCGCAGGCTCTACTCCGTATGTCTAGAAGTTTTCCAGCCGCCCTGGGCCAAGCATCCTCGATGGCAGAACACATCATGCCATGCGGCTCTTCTGCTAAACCAGCCATACGGGCTCAGGTGGTTCAGGACGCCTCTCCTCTGAAGACCCCGTTCCGGGGCTGTGGCCCGCAGGGCCTGAGGGAATTTCATGCTCGCAGTGCAGCTCCCAGGGCGCGGCAGCGCAGGGCTCCACTCCAGACCAGTCGCCCCCGTCTGCCACGTCGAAAAGTGCCCCCTTGGCCTGTGGGGCTGGACGTGGCCGGCACCCTGGCGCGGTGGCCGCCCCTGGCCAACCGCCGGACAGAGGGACGAGGCACAGATGAGAGCATCACGGCCGGGCGGAGTTTCGGAGCGGAGGGACGGGTGGGGCCTCTTGGGGTACATCCGAAGCTTCTCTGGGGCGGGTTGGTTCCTCCTGGGGCCCTGTTGGGGCGCTGTTCGGGCCCTTGGAGGGCTCTCTTTGGGGTCTGGAGTTCTGTAAGACAGCCGTGGGGCCTGAGAACCCATCCTGGGGCCGTCTTGCCACAAGCGGCAGCGTGACGCAGACTCGGTTCGAATTGCCTTCCCGCGATCTAGAGCTCTCCTGGCGCTTTAGAGGTCCTCACGGGGGCATCTGGGCCCGTCGTGAGCCTGGGGCCTCTCTTGGGAGAGCCCTGTCTAGAAGTGGCGCAGACTGGCATAGGCCGTAGACAGATTGGGTGCGACGATGGGGGGAGAAAAGATTAGGGGAGAGCAATACATGTATCCAGGGGCGCCGATGGTCAATGCCTTCGGCGAGGCTCCCCAGCGAAGACGCGTATGCCCGCCGTTGGGCTATTCGCACCCATCGTCGCCTCCGAACATCGTAAGTTCGGATTTCGCCCGGATCTCTCGGGCTGGCGCTGCGCACCCTGCTCAACCTTTGGACGGCCGAACTGGGTATGGGCACGATGCCCAACAACAAAGGCGGCCCTAAAACGACAGCGGCCGTTGTTGGGCAGCGGCCTCCTGTCTCAAATAGGCAACGTCCGCGGCGGCGCGGACAACGAGTCTGATTCAAAATGAACAGGAACTGCTGTTGGGCATCGTCAGAGTGAGGGGGCCGAACCGGCCTTCATTGTCCCTGAATGCGCGGCCGATTTTGGACTCCGCGGTGCGGATTTGCTTGTGACTGTCATTGTTGTTGTCGGTGGTGTTGGTGGTGGCGGTGGAGGTAGTGTTTGTGGTGTTATCGTTGTTGTTGCTGTTTTTGTTGTTGTTGCTGTTGAATATTATTACTTCTAAAGAAATATTATTGTTGAGACCCCTGGTGCGCGACCCCCCTCCAAAACCTAGGCCGCAGCCTCATTTCCTTCATTTTCTAGCGAAAGCTTCAGAAAAGTGGATTGTCACCGGATCCGGTTGTTTTGTTGTAATCCGTTTTCCCTTGCAAAAAACACTATAAAATGAAAATTCTTGTTCTTACTTGATCAAATTGCAAGAATCCCTTGCAAAAAATAAGGTAAAGTGGACATTCGTGCGCGCAAGACGAAATCCTTCCAAAACCTTAGGTTTCGTAGCGATTTTAACATAAAAACATCAAAAACCCAATGGTTTTTTAAGAAAAAATTGTCAAAATGTCCTTCCGCGCGCGCTGTCCGAATCCCACAAAACCAATGGTTTTTCAACATTTATGTTACATGAGCTCGCGCGAGCTACTTTTTCTTGTTCTAACATAATCAAATTTCAATAATCCCTTGCAAAAAATAAGGTAAAGTGGACATTCGCGCGCGCAAGACGAAATCCTTCCAGAACCTTAGGTTTCGTAACGATTTCAACATAAAAACATCAAAAACCCAATGGTTTTTCAAAAAAAAATGTCCAAATTTCATCCCGCGCGCGCTGTCCGACTCCCACAAAACCAATGGTTTTTCAACATTTATGTTACATGAGCTCGCGCGAGCTACTTTTTCTTGTTCTAACATAATCAAATTTCAATACTCCCTTGCAAAAAAAAGTAAAGTGGACATTCGCGCGCGCAAGACCAACAAAAAACACGACGATCTCAGGAACTTGCCCCAAAAATGTGACCAACTCCGCTCTCTCTGTCTCTCTCTCTGTCTGCTCTCTGTCTCTCTCTCTGTCTGTCTGTGTCATGTATTGTATGTCACAATTGCAGGATGCTGGGCACACGCGCGCCCCGAATAAGTGACCAAGTTCTGTGGGTGTGTACCCCACGCCAGTGTAGTAGCCACGGTCGTCCGCACGCCACGAAGTGAAGTGTCCCAACGTCATAGGGCGGGAAGCTGGGTTTGGGTGGTCGCGAAGAGTCGTTTGGATATTTGGTAGAGCTTGAACTGCCCCCCCACGAAGTGGGGGTATTGTCTCGCGTCGCATGAAAACCCTGGCACTGGTGAGAACACTGAGCGTTCGGGTAAAATGATTGTTGTTGTTGTTGTTGTTGGTGTTGTTGCATTGTTGTCGTCGTCCTCGTCCGCGAACCCCCCCGAGACCCGCCCACGATTCACCCCGCGACCCGCCCGCGACCCACCCGCGACCCACCCCGCGACCCACCCACGACCCAACCCTCGCCCAACCCCCTGACTCTTATTTGCAACTGCGGCGTGCTACTTACTCATTCTTTCCGTAACCGTTTTGACGACGAGCGGGGGGGAAGTGAGAAAGGGCGGGCCTTCTCAGAAGGCTCGAAAGTCCCCAAGCCTTCTGAAAAGTTTCCTGAGCCTTCACCGAAGGGACACAGAAAACTTCCCAGAAGGCGCGAGGGCTTCTGAGAAGTCACGCTGCCTTCTCCGAAGTCCTTCTCCTTCTCATTTCCCCCCCTTCGCTCGCCGCCGACCACCTCGTTCCTGCCGATCTTGGCCCAAGACCGATGTTCCATCCTGAGCCGTGCTTTGACGGTCCCAGGGCCTGGCGAGGGCCCCTAGAGAGGCCGAAGAACAACCTTTGCCTTGATCTTTTCAATGCGTTGGATCTCCAGGTTTCCTTCGTGCCGACCTCGGCCCGGCGCTGCACAACCTGCCCAAAACTTGGCTGCTCATTCTGGGACCTTCCTGGAGCCACGCGCTCCACTCGTGCGCCAGAGCTGCGCCGAGCGTCCGTCGACTTGAGCCGACCTCTTGAGTCGATCCCGAGTCGACCCTGAATCGAACCTGAGTCGAACTTGAGCCGAACTTGAATCGAACGTCAGCCGAAGTGGGGTCGAACCGGAGTCGAACAGATCCGTCAGGTGGGCCCCAGGAAGGTCCCCCAAACGAGCATCTAACCAAGCTCCTCCTCCTCCCACTTTTTCTATATTCTTCCTCCTCCTTCTCGATCCTCCTCTTCCTCGTCCTCCTCCTCCTCCTCCTCCTCCTGTCAACCAAGACCACCCCCTGCCCGGCGAGCAAGGAACGCGCCGCGGGCGGTGCCGGAGGCCAGCGGCCCCGGGAAGGTCGAGGAGAGGGCCTCGGCGCCGGCCCGAGAGGTCCCCGCTCAGCTTCGAAGGGGTCCAGGGCCACACGAACAAAGAGCAATACGCACAAGTCCCCATCCTGCCCTATATTTCCTGGGTTTCCGTCCTCTCCCCCTACTTCAAAATCGTTTCCCATAATTCCCGGGGCATCGACGATTTCTCGTGTCTTTGCGTTCTGTTCACCTCCTGAGCGCAGTCGGCAACGAATCGAGAAATCAGATGCAACTCGAAATGTGCATCGGACAGGGCGGCATCGGGACGGAATCGAAAATTGATTCGGATCAGTTGCGCCAGGAGGCGCCATACCGCCCCACGTCGGGGATCTACTGGCCCAGGTCGGAGCAAGCCTGGCAGGATCCTGCAGGGTCCTGCATGCAAGCCCAGATCAATGCAACCCTGGCTCTTGAAGATCCTGCAAGATCCAATTCTCTGGCAGACCCGTCTGCAGTGATCCCCTTCTCTTGAACCCCGACCCGCGGACCTCCGACAACTTCCGTGGGAGAAGAACATATCCTTCGACGAAGCCAGCACGAGGACAAATGAACGACGCAAATGACCAGGCCTTCCTCGAGAGGACACAGCGACCTTACGCGGCGGCTTACGCGGGCCGCCAGCACCGCACGCCACATTGAAGACGGGGGCGTTTGCGCGCAACCTTACGCGGGCAGCTTACAGGCGAATGTCGGTGAAGACTAGCCCGTGTTCCTGCGTCGCTAAGATGCGGATGAGGATAGATCAAGAATTTCAGAGATCAAGCGGTTCTGGAGGATATATCGGGCGCCGCGGCCTTCTCAGCGCGCTTAGAAACGCTCTGAGAGCGTTCCGGCACGCTCTGGAACGGATTCTAGCCCCGCCCGGTATCCGCATCCGCGGCCTCGCGGACCGGGCCCCTTGGACGCGACCCCGCGGATACTGGGCGTCTTCTCGGGCATGACCCGCGCGGAACGTACCCGTGCGACCGCGTGTCTGCGGCACAGCGCCCTCGAATCCAGGCCGCGGAGGCGTGGATGTGGATACAGTCGGGGCGTTGACCTAAGGAACCCTAAATAAGAGACGAGGCCCCTTTTTGGCATAAGTTAAACTTCGATTTCCGATCGAAAACATAAGGAAAGCCTGAGGCAAGCTGTGAAACACTTGAGGAACGCGGAGCCCCTCCCCAACCAAAAGGGTTCCTTCTTCAGGGCCCCGACTGTACGTTCGCTGCTCGTGAGAACTGCGCTTCTGCAGCTTTTGGGCTCTCGACGAGCTCCGGCGCGGGGCGTGGCCGGCCTGCGCGGGGCCGGCGCCTTCCACGATGGCCACGTCGAGGTCGCTGCTCCTGCGCAGCGCCGGTGCCGCGGGGAGCAGCGGTCCGCGGCAAGGCCAGGGAGAGGCTGCGCGCGGACCCCACCACCTCAGTGGGCCCTGGAAACGACAGGGCCGTTTTTTTGCCGGTTCCGTTCTGCTGTTTTTCTGCCCGTTCCGACGCCGTTTTTTTACCGGTTCCGTCGCCGTTTTTTGACCGGTTCCAGCTCCGGCTCCAATCCTGGAGCCGCTTTTTTGCCGTTTCCAATCGCCGTTTTTGTGCCGTTTCCAGATTCAAGGGACATTTTTTTGGAAACGGTGAAAAACGGCCCTGATCAACTCTTTCGCCTCCTCCACCCCTCCAGGCTCGGGTGGTGCTGCGGGCCTGTGGCCCTTCTTCCCGAATACCTGCCAGGCCACCCCAGCCCAACCCGACGACCCGAATCTCGGGCTGGGGGGGGGGGGATGCGTTCCATGCGTGCTTTCTCGATGCCCCCCGTCACCCCTCCACTGGACACGGAGGGCAAACATTGGGCCCGTCGGGTTGGGTTGGGTGGTCTGGTGGGCGGTGCCTTCCGTGCCCCACTCGGGAGCGGCAAAGAGGGGGGTGTCGAAGAGGGGGGGGTGCAAATCATGACCGGCGGCATGTGCGCGGCCCAGCGGGCGGGCCAGGGACGTAATGAAATAAGAAGAGGCGCCATGAGATCTGGGGAAATATCATGGCCCACGCCATGATATCCACCCCCCCCTAGTCATCACCCCCCTCTTTTCCGCCGCCGACCCACGCCTCCTCCGCTTCGGGAGAAGGGCTTGCCCCAGCCTCCTGCGAGACGACCGGCAGGAGGAGGACGGCACCGGCGGAGGACTGATCGGAAAAATCTCTCCGAGCCAGCGGGTCTGGAGGATGTACGGGGCGCCGCGGCCACCCCCAGAGCACTCCCGAACGCTGCGAGACCGTCCCGGGGACCCCTGGAACGATTCCGCCGGGTGCTATAGTTAAGTCGGGCGTGTCTCCCTACAGGGGGATTTTGGGCGAAAAATGCTTTAAACAAAAACTTGCAACATACCCCCCCAATGGGCAAAAAAATAGCAAAACATCGTCCCCAGACTATTTTTTATATTGTTTTTGAATATATTCCTCCTGTAGAGGGACAGGCCCGACCTTAATGCTATAGCACCACTCGGCCTCTCCAGGCGCCTGGACGACGTGGAGGGCTTGGCTGGCCTGGAGGCGTCGGAGGCACAGCGCGATCCTACGCGGTGTCCTACGCAAACCTCCAGCGCGGCACGCTGCACCAGAAGCGAGGGCACTTATACGCGCGACATTGGGCGGGCAACGAGCTCGGCTCCGGCTGCCGAATGCGCGAGGAGCCGCTCGTGGCACTTCCACGGCGTATCGATTTCCATCGAGGCTTGTAGACCAGCTCACACGTCTGCAGCGTGCGTCTCAGCCCCTGGATGTGGCCACGATGCCGCCACGCGTCCACTGCCATTCTGGCTCAGCACAGGCTGGCCGCCCCGAAGTTCTCCGCGCTGTGTGCCACCCCTCCTTCTCCCGCCCTCCGCGGCAGCTCTCCGCCTCGGGCCCCCTCTCTTGCCGCCAGCCCACTCGAGCGTGCCCGCGCCAGGCTCACCAGAGCGCGTGCGGATCGCCTCTGCCGCGCGGCAACGGAAAAACTGGGCCAGCTCGCCGGGCGCCAATGTCGGCGCCGTCGACCCCGATCGCTTCCGCCGCCCACGTGGCTCCCGCCGGCCCGCCCGTGGGGTTCTTCGGGCCCAGGCTCGCCTCTCCCTCTCGACGCCCTCCCTGGGAGTCTGGACGACTCGGCGGGGGGCTCGTCGGGCCCGGGCTCGCCTCTCCCTCTCGACCCCCTCCCTGGGAGTCTGGACGACTGGGGGGGAGGGGCAGGAGGTGCCAGATGAACCGTCCGTGCCCTGGGTACCACCAAGACAGCCTGTGATATATATATATATATATATATATATAGAGATATACACATTTAGATTTATATCTAGATATAGATAGATAGAAATATATAGATATATATATATATATATATATCGAGATGGCGGCCAATACCGGCCCTGGCTGCCCCCCTCCCCCCACCGGGTAACGTCACGCTTCGTGCTGACCTCCGAGCTGGCTTTGGTCATCCCTCCGCTTTCCACGACGGCGCCGGCGCGAACTGTGACGCCACCGCCCCCCCCTCCCCCCCCCTCCCCGCTGACGCCCGTTACCGCCTGGAGAAAAAAAAACTCCCCAAAGGAACCGTCCGTGCCCTTGGGCGCCCGCAAGGCCTGCAGAGGAGCTGCCCACCCGCTTTCGTGCCGCGCGGGGCCCCAGGGCGCAGGGGGTGGCGCTCCTCCTCGCGCTCTCGCGCTCCCCGGCCTGGGCCGCGGGTCGCGCCCATCGTCCTACAGAGGGGCTGCTGAACGAATGGACGAGCACGTTCCACTGATCGCAAAGTAGATGCTTGCAAGTGACCTGGATCCGCCATGGGGGATTCACGATGCATTACCTCGATGCAGACAGGTGCTTTTGTCGGGCGTTTGCGAGTGGGCACCCTGCGAGTAGTGGAACGCGCTTGGTGAAAGAGCGAATGCTGAACAGAGAACGGAGTCACACTATGGCGCCAGCAGGGCTTGGATACACGAGGAGGGCTGGAGGAACAACCACGGACGGGCCCCAGGAACAGCGAGCCTCTTTCGAACCCAGAGCGATCGTTATCTTAGCGTCTCGACCGCAGGTCGCCTAGCTTCGCGCATGGCTCCCCGCGAGCTCCCCGCGATGTGCGGTTCCCTTCGCGTCCTCGCGCCCTCGCGCCGCCCCCCTTGGGAGAAAGACGACCGTTCTGGCCCAGGCCGCGACCGGCGCAGTGGGATCATCTTCGCACCCCACTGGCGACCCAGATCTTAGCGCCCCTTCTGACGGCCTGTGGACGCCGAGCCGAGCGCACGACTCTCGAGTCAGACGAAGCGCCGACCTCTGGCGTCATGGACGGCCGAGACAGGCGGCAACTCCGACCAAGATTGCGTGGGGGGGGGTGGCAGACATGGCGCCCATGATGTTCAGCGCGCTCGGTCTGCAAGGTCGTATTTCCTGTGGTTGGTCCAGCCAGCGGACGTGTACGGCGGCACATGCATTCATACGAGCGGGCGTCGAGTGCTGGCGATCAGGATGGGTCGCGCGTAAGTAATTGTAGCGCGGGTCAAGTGCCCAGCAACCGCCCCTCTCTCGCGCACATAGCTCTGAGCCGCACCGGCGGTCCGACTGTCGGACCTGACCGGCGGTCCGACTGTCGGACCTGGTCATCTCGCGGTCGCCAAGGAACAACCCGCAGAACCACGACCCTGGACGTCGGAGCACCCGCAGGCATGACTAGGGAGGATGCAAGCTAGGCGCCCCATGTTGGTTGATGTGGTGACCGTTTCCCTCTTGAGGTCGGGGCCGTCTTGGGAGACTCAGGAAGGAGACGAAGGAAACACAATAATCGGGAAGCGATAAAGATGGATGGGAGCAGCAGGACGGAAGGAGTCGGGCAATAGGAGGATGGGCGTCACACCAAAAAACGAGACGTGCCAATTAGAACAACCTGTAAGCAAACTCGCCGTCACTGGGGCGCCCTGCCCCCCCCCCCTGGTCGGCGGGGCCGCCTTCCCTGGTAGTTAAGGTCGCGGTTCGCGCCAGCGCCGTTTGGGAATTCCTCGATCCCCCTCTCTTCCCCCCTCCCCGCCCGGGTAACGTCATTTCCCATAGATTCGGCGGCGTGGCTGCCCAGAGGTCTGGAGCCCTTCCCAAGGACTGGCTTTACATCCCGGGTCGCGGTTTGACTGTCCCAGGTCCTGCCGTCAGAGCCCTCAGGAGACCCAACACGGCCAAAAATCTCCCGTCGCGATTTCTGCGCAAAGCGACGATGTCAGGTTTGTTACCTGGGGGTGTTCAACACCAGGAACATCCTCCATATAGAAACGTTGCCCTGGTAGCTGAGGATGGCGCGCAGACAGCCCACCCAGCTGCAGCTGGCCTCAAAGTGCCCCCCCCCCCCCCCCCCCGAAGGAGAAACGGCAGAAACATGAACTTCTGGCGCTCCGCGCGGATTTCTTGGATCTGCGCTGGACCGCCCCCCCTGGCGCGCTCCGCGCGCTGGGGGCGCCGCCCGAGGCGCCGCAGGGGGGGGCCAGCGCGGATCCGAGCAATCCGCGCGGAGCGCCAGGAGCTTTAGGATTGAGGCGTGTTCTCTTGTTGGGCGCAGTGCGGCCTCGGCGCTCCAGCGTCCAAAAGTACCCCCAAAAAGGTCGAGAAGTATCCCCCGAATCGTCCCCAGACTACTTCTGGACTGTGTTTGGACTACTTTTCGGGTACTTCTACTTTTCTGTCGAACATCCCCCTGTAGAGGGACAGGCCCGACTTAACCCCAGCGCGGGGGGGGGGGCGCGCGGCACCCCCGGGGGGCGCCGCCGGCGGCGGCGCCCGGGTCTCTCCCTGCCTCTGACGGGAGCTCCGGGGCAGGGCGGCGGGCTCTCCGCAGCGCCAGGCCCTGGGCGTAGGAGCCCTGCACCACCAGCGAGGCCTCCTCGCCGAAGAGCCGCAGGACCTCGCCCGGCGGGGCGAGGCGAAGGCTGGGCGGCGGGGGCTTGCCCATGGCCATCGCCTTGTGAGCCGATGTCCTGGGGCCCGCGGGGGCGGTGGACGTGGCTATCAGGGTGAGGGGGCCGAGCGGTCATGCAATGTCCCTGGGTGCGTGGCTCAAGTGCGGATCCGTGGTGAGGCTTCTGCTTGTTGCGTTGTTGCTGCTGCTGCTGTTGTTGTTGCTGTTTGTTGTCGCCGTCCCCCCCGCGACCCGGCCCGCGACCCACCCGCGACCCACCCCGCGACCCACCCGCGACCCACCCGCAACCTACCCGCGACCTGGCCCGCGACTCACCGTCGACCCTCCCGCGACCCACCTGCGACCCAAACCGCGACCCACCTACATTGCTTTAATAAATAATCAGCGCCTGCGGCGGGCTCGTCGCATAGCTTGAAAATGTTGCGCTGGGCCCGAATATACGTAGAACCCCGAAGTCGCGGATAAGAGTGAGGGGGCGGCGCGGACGTCGGCAGTCTGCGAGGCTCTGCGAGCCCGACGCAGGCGCTAAATGATTTTACAAATTCTACAACGAGCCCGCCGCAGGCCCCGATTTGTGGTTAAAGCAATGCGGGTGGGTCGCGGGGTGGGTCGCGGGTGGGTCGCAGGTGGGTCGCGGCTGGGTCGCGGCTGGGTCGCGGCTGGGTCGCGGGCTGGGTCGCCTGTTGGTCGCGGGTGGGTCGCGGGGCGGGTCGCGGGTGGGTCGCGGGTGGGTTGCGGGTGGGTAGCGGGTGGATCGCGGGCCGGTCGCGGGGCGGGTCGCGGGGCGGACGACGCCAAACAACAACACCAAACAACAGCAAGAATCCGCATCGTGGGGAATCCCACTTCAGCCACTCACGAAGGGACAGTGAATGACCGCTCGGCCCCCCGCACTGATCTTATCTATACCCGCTGCCTCCCAAGGTCCAGGAAGATCGGTTTCCTGGGCGGGGGATGTATGGATAACGCCCAGCCTGAACGAAAAAGAGCCCCGAGGCAACGACCAGGAAAAACGCGGCCCGACGGGCGAGGGTCGGACGACGGACGAACGACAGGAAGGTACAGCCACACGACGGGAGCGACGGCCCAACCAAGAACATGCGGGCACACTCCCAGAAGCCTTGGCTGCGCGCAGCAGGGGCTGGCACAAGAGGGGTTGCCGTATCACAAGGGCGAGTGGCTTCCAACGAGGTAATGCGCTTCTCACTCCTGGGTGCGGAGAAGCCATTTTGAGATTCCAGGCCCTTCCAAGAAAGCCCCCGCCTTCCAAGGCGCCACCCGCCATCTCGGCCGGGTACTTGCCCGACGCTGTGGTCACGTCCAATCAGAGGCGCGGCCCTGTCCTCATGCACATTCGCGCCGCGGAGAACGCACGCAAAGGCCCAAGGCGCGCCGAACTCTCTATTGGGGTTGCGCTCGCCGTGAGGGGTCTGCCCAAGCGGGCGGAGAAGACCCCACGCGACCGCGCCCACTGAGGCCATGGGGCGGGAATCCCTGGGCGCGTGACGCCACGCAAACGAAACCATGGGCGGAGTGCCCTGCGGGCTGCGGGGGACACCATCCGCAGGGGCGCGTGCCGAAAGGGCGCGAGGCCGCCATGCAACCGCGCAGACCGAGGCCGCAGGCGGAGCCCCCTGTTCGGCCCGATCCGCGTGAGGGGCGTTGACGTGTGGGCGCGCAGACGGCAGAGGCAGGGAGAGGGCGACGAGGAGGGAGGGGGGAGCAGGAGCGAAGGGGATGGAGAGCGCCAAACGAGGGTCCACAACTCCGCGTGAGGGTCGGGTCATCCGGCGGAGGGCGCGGACGTCATGGTCCACGCGCGCCTCCCCGCGCTCGCCCCAAGAGGGAGAGCAACAACTCTGGCCCGAGGCCGCATGCGCGTTGTGAGCGCGAGGGCGATGACCGCGCGGCGGGAAGAAGAGCGGGAAACGATCTTCCTCCCGCCGCGCGGTCAGAGGAGATATCAGAGGAGACCAGAACACGATATCATCCTAAACGTTCGGAACTCCGTGCGGATATCTCGGATCTGCGCTGAGCCACCGCTGGCGGCGCCTCCGCGCGCTAGAAAGGGGAACCCGGCGCCGATCCGAGACATTCACGCGGACCGCCGAAATTTCTGCTTATGCCGTTTTTCCTTCCTCGATGGAGGGCGGGGGACGTGGGTGGTACCACGCGGCCGCGGACGAGCTCGTCGCATGCGGCCTCCTGACAGGGCGGGGCGCTTCTTTTTCCCCCAACGAAAAACCACCGACAAGCAAGGATGACCCTACGAGCTCTGCACTTCGAGATGCATGGGACCGCGGGCCGACGACGGCGACGACGACGACGACGACGACGACGACGACGACGACGACGACGACGACGGCGCGAGCACGGCCTGCCCACAGCGCCGTGTACACCACAATGCTCGCGTGCACCACAGCGCGCGTGTACACCACAGTGCCTGCGTACACCGCAGCAGCCGTGTGCGACGCAACGCCTGTGTACACCACAGTGCTTGCGTGCACCACAGCGCCGGTGTACACCACAGCGAACGAGTAACACCGCGGCAACCATGGGCAACACAGCACCTGTGTACACCACAATGCTTGCGTGTACCGCAGTGCCTGTGCACAACACAGCGCCTGTCTACACCACATCACACGCGTGCACGCAGCGCTGGTGTTCACCAGTGCCTGCGTGCATAGGACAGGTAGAACGGGCATGTAGGTGAGGATCTGCTGCGGACAGCCAAACGCCACGCCAGAAAAGTGATGACAATATAATGTAATAGAATGCGACGGTCTTCCCTCCTCCCTCCTCCGCCACCTCCACCTCCACCTCCACCTCCTCCTCCTCCTCCTCCTCCACCTCCTCCTAGTCCTCCTCCTCCTCCTCCTCCTCCTCCTCCTCCTCCTCCTCCTCCTCCTCCCTATGCGGATCCCCATGAGATTCCCAATGCAGACCAGGCTCCTATGCGGACTTCTATGGGGACGCCGATGGAGATCCGGATGCGCACGGCTGCAGTGCCCGGAGCGCACTGGGGGGGAGGGGCGTTACGTTAAGGGGGGGGGGGCGGGGGCTATAATGCCCATTATGCCCCAAGCAATAAAGAAACACGCTACTCGCGACCGCCGCCCCTCTGCGCGCGCCGACACTCGTTACCAAACGATCGATTGTGATCGACACAACCATCCCCATCGCCACTGCTGGGCATCAATCGGGTGTTGTCAAAAGATTCCCTGGCCCAAGGCGCCCCCAGGATTTCCAAGGAGGCCCCCACGGCCTCCAGAGCACGCCTCACGAGACCCAGGGGGCCCCAGGGGCCTCCAAGTGGAATGAAAATGGGCCAAAGGAACCTTAATAACCCCCGAATTCTTGACGGGCCGTGATCTGACGGAACCGGCGAAGAACACAGACCTGGGAGGGGCGAGCACGAAGACGGCGAAACACAAGCCAGGACACGTTTCCCTCGGAACCTTGTTTCTTTCGCGATGAATCATCGTCGCTATCGCCGCAATAACCGCCGCCCGTGATGGAGGAAAAGGGGGATGGTGCGCGGGGTGTTTCAAGACAACAGAACGCCCACCCGAGATGTGGGGACAAGAAACATGGTCTGTCTCCCAAACGATCCCCTTCCTACACGATGACCCATCGTCGCCAACATCACCTTCGCTATCGCCACCCGTAGGTCCCAGGTGTCAAAAGCATGTACCGTTGTCAATCTCCATTGCATGGTGAATCATCGTCGACATCATCACGATAACCACCATGACCGTCATGAATGCTATCGCCACCCACATCCCAGAACCCCCACGCGGGCGGCACCCACCCGCGGGGGCCGGCGGGAACAGCGCGCGGCGGGCGCGGACCAGGAGCTGGATCTGCCCCAGGCAAGTCTGGCGGAGGCGGAGTCAAGGGAGGGGCTCGTCCCTCGGAGTGGGCCGGCCCCGTGCGCAGCGTGGAGGCGCCGCCCAGGTGCGCCAGCCACCCGGAGATCCTCCGTTTCCTCCCCCCTCCGTCGTCCCACTCCGCGTTTCCAGCTGCCTGCGCCGCTCCTCCTCCTCCTCCTCCTCCTCCTCCTCCTCCTCCTCCTCCTCCTCCTCCTCCTCCTCCTCGACGCCGACCTCCTCCTTTCATCGTCCCCTGCCTACATCATCCTTCCTCTGAACCTCATCCGCCTTCTCCTCATCGTCCCACGCCCCATCCTGGTTTCCGTCATTTTCCATCCCCTCCTCCGTCTCCTCTTCATCCGCATCATCCGTCCTCCCCGTCCTGCTCGTGCTCCCGCTTTTCCCTCGACTTTTCCTCCTGCTGCTGCTGCTGCTGCTGCTGCTGCTGCTGCTGCTGCTGCTGCTCCTCCTCCTCCTCCTCCTCCTCCTCCTCCTCCTCCTCCTCCTCCTCCTCCTCCTCCTCCTCCTCCTCCACTCATCCTGGAACGTCCTTGACCTCCGAAGACTCTGCATTTTCAAATCTCAAGGCCCAAGACTCACCGAGGACCATGCTTTGGAGCCACCACGACCCCCGAAATAGCCGCCGAAGTCCAAAAGAGTTGCGCGGTATTTTTTTTGCCTTTTGAGAGTATGCAATGCTGGGCGCGCAGGCCCGCCTGCAACGCCCCCCGGCGAGCATCCATTTTGAAACAAACATCGCCGCGGCCGTCGCAATCACCACCACCAAGACAACAAGAGAACAAGTGTTACATTCATCATCGCGCTGAGGGCACGTCAGCCTGCGCCGCCGCACATCGACTCTCTGCCACAGCCGAGTGTTGCGTGCTCCCAGCAGCATTCGTCAGCAGCTGTCGAAAGCAAAACCGCCGACATGGTCCTTGAAAGGGTCGCCAGGAGGGCCGCCGAAGGGGCCGCAGAGATCGTCGGCGAAATCGCCGCCGGAATTGCAGCCGAAATCGCCGCCGAAATCGCCGCCGAAATTGCCGCCGAAATTGCCGCCGAATTTGCCGCCGAACTTGCCGCCGAAATCGCCGCCGAAGTCGCCGCCGAAATAATTGGGAACTCCGCGAAAATCGCCGCCGAAATCAGCCGCCAAAATCGCCGCCGAAATTCAGCCGCCGAAATTGTCATTGCCCTGTCCCAAGCGAAATCACTATTTTGATCAAGTTCGATGACGCCGCGGACGCAGGCATCGACTCACAGCCAAGGCCTATTTCGGCCTCTTTTCGGCGGTACAGTCCGGAATTTCGGCGGAAATTTCGGCGGCGGGTTTGGCGGCAATTTCGGCGGCGATTTCGGCGGCAATTTCGGTGGCAATTTCGGCGGCAATTTCGCGGCCCTGTCGACGGCTCTTTCGGCAGCCCTTTCGGCTGCAATTTCGGCGGCCCTTTCGACGGCTCTTTCGGCGTTGTTGTTGTTGCTGCCAATTGTCGACCATGGCTGCTGGGAGCTCTGGGCACTCGGAGGCCCCGGCGGGCCCTGAGAGGGCCCTCGAAGGACCTCGCCAGAAAGCGTCTGCGAAGTAGCTCAAGCCACGCGTGATTGGCACGCAACGTGCAGAGCGAATTCCCCCTCGCAACGTGCAGGGCGAATTCCTCGCGTTATGCATCAGCACGCTCTACGATGCGCATGGAAACCACCGCGCGACAGGGCGCGCCTGCACACCGAAACCATCAAGAAAAGCTCAATTTCGTTTGGAATGAATTTCAGCGCGCGCCCCTCTTCGTTTCCAGAAAAAGTGCCACTACGACAAGACCGTTCGACTTTCCCTGGGACCAGTTGCTTATCCCAGGTCGCTTGTTCGACGGCCCCAGCGACACGAAAACAGCCTCAGGAGACCGACGACGCTAAAACGCATAAGACTCCATATGTTCGAACCTTTAGATTTCTGGACCCATTGGGACCGTCTTTTCATGCGGGGTCGTTTTTCGACGGCCGCGGGGCAAAAACCTCCCGTGCAAAAACGTCACGACGCGAGGACATCAGGGTTTCAGTTTGATCATTATTCCCAACGAAGGTGCAATTCGGTCAAGCTCAGGTAGCGCCTGGAAGTGTGCGGAGAGCTCCTCTGCATTGTGGGCGAAGCCATGGAAATACACAGAGAGAGAGAGAGGGAACAAAACAAAACAACAAAAACAAACGACAAACCAACAAAGGAAAAGAGAGATAGAGAGAAATACAAAAAAAAACTGTGAGAGAGAGAAGGGTAGATGGAGAGAGAGGGGGGAAAGAGAGCGAGAGAGACAAAACAAAAAAAAACGAGAGAGAGAGAGAGACAGACAAAACAAACACATCAAATCAAACCGCGTCGTTGGAATCCCCACCCCGCCGATCGGCGGGACGTTGTCCAGCCGTGCTCCTCCCATCCGCGGGAGGGACGATGGGGGCCGGGAGCGAGGGCCCTCCCTGCCTCTGCCCCCATACCCCCCTCCCATGGTAAGGCTGCGGGCTGCGCGCAGACAGCCCCCCCAAAGAGAGTCGCCCCGGCTGCCCACCATCGGCGCTCCGAGCAGTCCTGGGGCGGTCTCGCCAAGGGGCCGAGACGGGCCCGGGACTGCGCAGGGGGCCTGTTGAAGCCAGCCGGGACTGCCTGGGGAGTCATGCCGGGTCGCTTTCGGTCTCGGGGCCCGGCGGGGGCCCCAGAGGCCGACACCAGCGCATCCCGTCGCGATGTTGCTCACGGCGCGACCATGTCAGGGTTCCCTTCGGCATCCTTCGGCGTTCGGCGAGAGCCACCACTTGTACACAACAATGCGTCATGCCACTCCCGCGGCAGAGAAGGAACTCAGGAAGACGAGTTCGGGTCCCTGGCGGAGCTTGGCGGCCTCGGGTCGCCGTCGGAGCCTCAGCCAGGGGCGTCCTTGACGCGCGGGCGCCTCGAACCTCGACTCGGGCGGGGGGAAGGAGGAATAGTGAGGTCCTAACACGAGGGGCTGCACTATCCTGGCGAGCTCGGCGGCCAAGGGGGCGGCGGCTGAGCCTCAGCCAGGAGTTCACTGACAGGGAAACTCTGACCCAAAATCGCTCGGTGAGAGGGTCAGTGCCTGCACTGAGCAGGCTGAGACTGATGCCAGCGTCTTTCTCTCGGAGACCGTTCCAACACTGCTCCTCCAGGCACTTGATCCTCACACCCCACGAGGCCCCGCAACGAGATCACCACACCACCCTTCCTCCCCCACCCAGAGAGAATGAGAGGACTCGGAGGCGCGGGCGGTCTTGGGGAGGACTGCGCAAGGAGCCAACACACATTTTCTAGATCTGCGAGAGAGCGTGATCCACCGCCGCTTTACTTTTGGAAAATTGCCAACCTTTTCCTCCGGAGCCCGGGGGTCCCCCCCCCCTCCGAAAATCCCCCCCCCCCTGCTGGACCCCCCCCCCCCCTTCCTCCCCGGCCCCCCCCCCCCCCCCCCCCCCCCCCCTAACCCCTCCCCCCCCCCCTCCCCCTCGAAAACCGGGGGGGGGTCACTACCGGTTCGAACCCCTCCCCCCCCCCCCTCCGGATCCGGAAAACCGGGGGGGGTCACTACCGGTTGGACCCCCCCCCCCCCCCTCGAAAACCGGAGGGGGGTCACTACCGGTTCGACCCCCCCCCCACGCACCGCCAGCAAACGACTCCCGGTCCCTACCACCGCTCGCATCACATCCCCCACTGTTGTTCCCAGCACCACTGTCCTCACCACCACTGTCCCCACTGGTTCCACCACCGTCCCTATTGTCCCCACCAGTGCCCCCACCACTGTCGCACTGTCCCCACTGTTCCCACCACTGTTCCCACCACGGTTCCACTCTCCCCACTGTCTCCACGGACCCAACCACTGCCTATCCCCACTGTCCCCACTGTCCCACTGACTCCTCCGCTGTCCCACTGAAATCCCACTGTTCCCACCACTGTCCCCACTGTCCCCACCACTGTCCCCACTGTACCTCTGTCCCATTGTCCCACCGCCGTCCTCGCCACCGCCTTTACCACTGTCCCCACCACCATTGTACCCTCCACTGTCCCACTGTTTCCACCTCATTCCCACTGTCCCCACACCACTGTCCCCACCACCACCGTCCCCACCACTGTCCACTGTCCCCCCTGTGCCCACCATTGTCCCCACCACTGTCCCCACCACTACCGTCCCCACCACTGTCCCAGTGTCCCACTGTCCCCACCACTGTCCCGCTGTCCCCTCACCACTGTCCCCACCAACACCGTCCCCACCACTGTCCGCACCCCCACTCGGTTTTCGAGGGGGGGGGGGGTTCGAACCGTTAGTGACCCCCCCCCCTTTTCATGATGAACTGGGGGGGGGGGGCGGAGGGGTTCGAACCGGTAGTGACCCCCCCCGGTTTTCCGGAGGGGCCCCAGTTTCCCGCCAGCAGCGGTAGAACACGCTCTTTCGGATCTGCCCCTGTCCCGACATCGTGCGTACATGAAGCCCTTGCCTACTCGAGCTAGCTGGCGACCGGGCGGGTCAGGAATGAGCTCCAGGGACGACGGTTTCTTCACTTTGGTGGCATCTGGGAAGCTCAGCAAAGCCAAGCGGTCCAGGACCCGCGAGACCAGGATCGAGTTCGCCGCCACCTCAGCATGATCTGACCGAACATCTGGTAGATTGGCCTGGGCGAAGGCTCCAAACTGTGCCTGTGCGCCCACAATCCGACATTGGCTACACAGGCCACCGTGTGGCTTAAGAGTCATTTCGCGTTGATGCGGCGGATGATCTCACCACCGACACTTTGAGCTACCAAAAGAGGTCAGGCCACAGTTCTCCGAAACACAAGTAAGATAGATCCTGATGCGTCCAGCGTCCAACACATTACTGCCCGTCTTACAGGTGAGGTGGATCCGAGGTGGCGAAGCGCCAGTAGAAGCGCATAAACTTCACCATAGCCAGCGAGCTGCACAGGATGGGGTAAAGGTCCGCAGAGGCTGCCCGAGATGCTGCCTCCGAAGTCACGCCCCATTACCTGCATACCCTGCCAGCAGGAAAGGTGGCAACTTCTGGTCAAGCCCCGAGCCGTCCAGGCAGACGTACCCGGTGTCAAAAAGGGCAACTGCGATGAATGCAAGACCACTTCGGCTCCGTCGTCGTGTACTGTCTGAGCCATTGGCATACTGAACATTGGGATGAAGGTGTCGTACCCGATCAAGAGGAGCACGCACCGTAGTAGAAAAATCAGGCAGGCCCTCGAACCGCGGACGGGGTAAAACACGATGAGAGCAAGCAGTCAGGACCCCGCCAAACTGGTACACTATGACCAGCATTTCCCCGCATTGGGAGAGACTCCGCATTGGGAGAAAAATGCTGTGCCAGCTGCCGTCCCCCCGACTTGAACCCGAGGCGTCAAGGCCGGTCGTGTAAGAAGCCTGGGACCAGATGAAAACACTGGGAGCCCATGGGGAGACGGAGACCACTGGCCACCGCCCACACAGGTGGCGGGCGGCCACGGCAGCTGCAGCGCAACTGCCGCTACCCTTTGGCATAAAGCCTTTTTGGACACACCAGTAGGCCAAAAGATGCGCGGGATGGGACCAGAGTGAGGATAGAAGCCTCACCTGGCGCAGACCGCGCACCCCGGCCAGCCCGGTGCCACAGCGTGAAGGGTAACGCCTTGGGGGGTTGTCAGCAGGGTCCTATTCCTTTACGCTGACTGCCACGACAGTGTGCAAGGTCGCCGCCCAGCTTGCGCCAGGCACCCCGTCTGAGCCATTGGCATTCTGGACTGAGAATAACAAGCAGTTCGTACAGCCAGGGTCCTACTCTGAAGCAAGCAGGCCGTCGCCGACGTGTTCGTCAAGGTCGAGGCGACGCAAGAACTGCCGCTGGCCGTCTCACCCGAAGAAACGATGTCCTCTGGTGCCTCGACGTTGCCTACACCCCTTGGCGCTCTGGAGTGACCACCTTGCGGTCGGCGACCAGCTCATGCTGCGTGACGAAGCCGCCTGGCACTGCGATGGCGAGGCGGACAGCAGACGCTCCTCTGCCATGAACACATAATTCCTGGCACAACCAAGGGCCCCAGACATGGTAGCCCGGAAAGGCACCGATCTTGCCGCTGGGGCCTCCAAGGCTCCTGATGAGGCACCTCTGGGTGCTCTCCTTGCGGATCGACTTGAATGAGCGTTTACCGTAGCGTCGAAGGCTCACAAGAAGCCCAGTGCCAGTCTCCCAAGAGTCCCAAGAACGAATACTCCAACCCAACCGCTGTAAAATACAGGCAGCCACACAAGCTGGCCCCTGAACGTGCTGCCAGCCACGATCAGGGAGAGCCAACCAAGACCGCATCTGCAGCTCGGGCGTCCAACTCTGCTGGAGCGCCATGACCCACATCACGATGAAACCTGAATATGCTGCGTATGCATCTAGATCCGGAGATCGTCGAAGCTCACATGTCCTGAACCGCCCTCTCGGCATTCAGAACATGGCTTGGGCCAGCATGGCCCTTAGCTCCACCACCTTCGCACTTGCCCAGCACCAGCCTCACTCATTCCCAGAGCGTCCCCGACCTCATCCTCGCCCCCCTCCTACCCTACGCCATCATCCTTCTCCTCACCATCCACCTCCTCCTCCTCCTCCTCAGTCTTTCCCCTACCTCCCTCCCCTCCTCCTCCTCCTCCTCCTCCTCCTCCTCCTCCTCCTCCTCCTCCTCCTCCTCCTCCTCCTCCTCCTCCTCCTCCCTACCTCCCTACCACTCTACCTACCTTTCTCCCTACCATCCCAGCCCCTCCCTGGAACACCCAGCCCCTCCCTGGAACACCCCCCGCCCCCGCGCAAGCGTGGCGGGGCCTCCACGGCGGCCAGCCGCTCCGGCTCGGGCAGCACGGAGGCCAGCAGCGCCTGCGTCGCGGGGGCCGTCTCTCTGGGGCTGGGTGCGCGTCTGGAGGGCTCGACCTCGACCTCGATCTGTTCCTCCTCGACCTCAACCTCGTCCTCCCCGAACCTCGACCTCCCCCCCTTCCTCCCCCATGCCAGTCCTCCCCCTCCTCGCCTCATCTCCTCGCTTCCACTGCCCCTCCTCCTCCTCGAACTCGGCTCGGGGGGAGTTCTAGGGACGTCCTACTCGGCATTGACCTTGTCCGTCCCCTCCTCCCCTCCCCATGTAAATCATCCCTCTCCTCAACTCCTGCTTGTCCTCGTCTACGTCCTTCTCCCTTCTCAGGGGCCTCCTGCTCCTCCGCGATCTGCTGGCTCCCAGAGGGCCAGCAGGGAACCCCCGAGGGCCCTTTGGGGCCCAGGGCCCTTGAGGACCACTTTAGGCCCCCCCCCGAGGGAAGTGTCAAAAGGGTGGCAGTTCCTCCTGGCGCGGGCGGGCGCGGGCGACGCGGGCGTCGTCGAGCCGGCGGACCTCGTGGCCCCCCCCCGTCCCTGTCGATGGCGCTCTCCTCCTCCGCCTCCTCCGCCTCCTCCTCCTCCTCAGGGGCCGCGGCCGGGGCCCAAGCGGCGGGAGCCGGGACCCCCGACAGCGCGGGAGCCACTCGAGGTCGGAGCGAGCCAGCGCGGGCGGCCTCTCGGGCTCGGTCGGGGTCGCCCCCTGGAGGGTGGTAGACCCCTCGCAGTAATGGCAATGCAAGAAGCACTGGAGGCTGCAATGCAGATCGTGGAATGCTTGGGCGGCGAGGACGGCCTGATCTCCGTCTTGGATCCCAGGCAAGGGCCGCGACCCTTGTAGGGAAGGTGGGGGGGGCAACGCGTGCAGTGACAAGGGCGGTAGCTTTCTGTCGGGCGTGTCCCCCTACAGAAGAATTCTCGACGAAAAATAAGACATACACCAAACATGCCCCAAAAAGGTGAGAAAATACACCAGAAACAGCCCCCAGACCATTTTGGACATGTTTGAAAAATTATTGGTCGGGTATTTGATATGTTTCGTCGAACATGCCCCTGTAGGGGGACAGGCCCGACTTGACGGAAGCTCCTCCCGGCGCCTCGACCCTTCGGGGGCCGCCCCCTCTCGGACGTGACCGCGAGGCAGCCAAATCCCAGGCCCCTCGCAGCCGAGGCCCGTCGCCTGTGGCTATAGAGGCGTCCGAGATGCAAGGCTTCCCTTTGGATCCCTCCCTGCTCCTTCTCCTCCTCCTCCTCCTCCTCCCCTCCTCCTCCTCCTCCTCCTCCTCCTCCTCCTTCTCCTCCTCCTCCTCCTCCGCCTCCGCCTCCTCCTCCTCCTCCTCCTCCTCCTCCTCCTCCTCCTCCTCCTCCTCCTCTCCCTTCGTCCCCGGTCGCGATGATCGCGATGATGCTGCAAGTTCGTGCGCATCTCTTTCACGCGCTTCCCGTTCATGTCAGGAAAAGTTCCCTTTGGATCCCTCTAGGGTTCCTACGGATTCCAGCGGATTCCTGAGGATTCTCAGGATTCCCTCCGGACTCCTACGGTTAAGTCGGGCCTGTCCCCCTACAGGGGATTATCGGCAAAAAAAAATCGCTGGCCCAACGGGCCAGAGGCGTGCTAAGATCTCCGGTAACTGCTAAATAATACTTCTACTTCGCGCGCGCGGGGCGGCCCCTGGGGTCCCCGGACGAAAAGTACCCCGGGCGATCCCAGGCAGACTCGGGTCAGAGATGGTTTTCCTCCTGGGCGCCGCCCCCGTGGCCCTCCAGAGAGCCCCAAGAAGGGCCACGAGGCCGCCAAGAGCCCTCCAAGATGGTTCAAGAGTGCTCCGAGATGCCACACGATCGTTCCAAGACGCCCAAGATGGCCCCCAGACGCCCCAAGAGGCCTCCAAGAGCACTCCCCAGAGGGCCCCAAGAGGCAAAATTCATTACTTGTCCTTAGGTTTTGGGCAGATTTTGGCGTGTCCATCTTTTCGGCTTCCCGACGCCCCAAGACGGCCCAAGAGGCCCCCAAGATCGCCCCAAGAGGGCCCAAGAAGCTCCCACGAAGGCCCCAAGATGGCCCAAGAAGGCTTCCAAGACGGCCCCAGAGGTATCCAAGACGGCCCAAGAGGGGCCCAAGAGGGCCCCAAGCGATGCCCCAAAGGGGGAACACAACACAAAACTTCGAGCCCTCGGCCTTAAGAAGCCCCCAGGAGGCCTCAAGAGGCCCCTGAGAGGCCCCAAAGCCCCCAAGAGGCCTTCAGGAGGCCCCCAAGCGACGCTGAAGAGGCCCCCCAGCGGCCCCAAGAGGCTCAGTCATGCGAAATGGGCCGGCGGAATGAGCGAAGCGATTCAATAAAAAATACCCCCAGAATAATAAAAACATCGTCCAAAAATAGTCCGGGGACTATTTTCTAAATATTTCAGGCCTTGTTGGAACATGTCTTGGGTATTTTCAATTTTTACTCGAAAATGCCCCTGTAGGGGGACACGCCCGACATAACGCCAAGGATTCCCTTTAGATCCCTCCAGGGTTCCAGCGGATTCCTGAGGGTTCTCAGGATTCCCTGCGGACTCCCAGGGGGTCCGAAGGACCTCTTCCTCGGGATGGGACTCCGAGGGAGAGCGAGGAGGAAGGCGAGGAGGGGAGGAGGAGGGGGGGACGACTGCTCCCAGCCGAGAGCCTTAGGGGTGGGGGCACCGTTCACGACGCTCTGCGGTTAGATGGGGTCGGAGGATCGTGCTTCATCGGCGATGCATCGGCGACGCATCGGCGCCGTTGGCATGACGACAATGTGGCTCCAAATTGAGCCGCATTAGCGATGCATCGGCGATACGGCGCGATCCTCCGACCCCTCTGCTCGGCGCGTTGATACAGTGGCAGCTCAGCATCGGTCTCTGGACCCCATCCAGGGGTCCAAATGCAATGATTGACCGAGCTGCGGCCAGCCGTGGCGACGAGGGGCTTCCTCCCCGAAGGCCACCGACAATTGTCGCAACTCGACCTCCTCTGATCAGGCTCGACCGCGAGGTGCAAAACATCACGGGTGACACGACCACCCCGCAAATTTTAAGGTCGCAAAACAAACCGGGAACACCGCACAGGCCGACCTGCAATAATTAGGCAAACTCATGTCTTGAAACGTGGCATCATCAACTAATCGACAATGAACCTCAGACAGAAGGGGGGGAGAAGAAGGAGAAGAGAGCAAGGACAAGCGTTTTGTGTGGGCCTTAGGCTCGACCGCGAGGGATCCAGGGTTGAAACATTGTAGAAATCACGGCCGGTCCCCGCTGCACCACCTTTCTGCGCCATCGGTCGGGCCGAATCGATCCGAGGACGCCCTGGGGCCCGAAGCCGCGCGAAAACGCCCGGCTCCAAAAAGCTGCGACGCCAAGCTCCTGGGCCTCGACCCCTCGCGCACGGCTGCGCGCCTGGGCGGGGCGAGGCCCGCTGCCAGGCCTGGGGCCCCTCGTTGCCACGGCCGGGCGCAGCTCGGCAAAGTGCTGCGGACCCAGGGAGGGCTCCGGGGCCCGGGACCGCTCTCGAGTTGCCGTGGTGCCAGCTCGCCCTCCTCGGACCAGGCTCCATGCGAGGGCTCCAGGGTCCCACCACTCGCAACCGGAGCCGCCCTGAGGGCCTCGTGCGCGACTCGGGACCGACAGACGCTGGAGCGGACGTCCCGGGCGCGGCATCCAGAGCAGTTTAGGCTCAAGGCGCGAATTAAATCACAGAAGGCTGCTCCCAAGTTCGGCAAGCCTCGGGGAGCCCTGTAAAGAAGAGCCCTGGGGAGCGTAGCAACAACTGTGGGAACACAAACATCCCTTTCACATCTTCCGTGACCCTGAGATCCGACAGTGCGAACAAATGGCAACATCGCAAAGTCACGACCGGAACCCTCGACCCCATCATTCTGCGTCATGTTGGCCGCATCGACCTGCAATGCTCCCGGAGCCTGGTGCTGGGCGAACGCGCCCAGTGTGAAAACAAATTGCATCTCGATGCATGGATCCAGGGCTGAACATCTGTCGAGTCGAATCGATCTGTGGGCGCCCACGGGGCCCGAAGCCGCGCGGAAACTCCCAGCTGCACAGAGCACTGCAGGGCCAGGATCTCTGCAGGGGAGGGATCCACGGCTCCACCCCTCGTGGCGAGCCTAGACTCCCGACGTCACGAACTCTTTTGACAACGAATGATGGGCCTGCTTTCCACCACCACCAGTAGTTGGAGGGGGAGGGGGTCCTCCTCCTCCTCCTCCTCCTCCACCTCCTCCTCCTCCTCCTCCTCCTCCTCCTCCTGCTCCTCCTGCTCTTCCTCCTCCTTCTCCTCTTCCTCCTCCTCCTCCTCCTCCTCCTCCTCCTCCTCCTCCTCCTCCTCCTCCTCCTCCCCCCTCCAACTTATGGTGGTGGTGGTGGAAAACAGGCCCATCAACGTCGACCGAATCCTTCCTGGGCATATACTCCAGATGAAAAGCAGGCCCCGGTGAATGGGTCGATACCCGGGGCCCTCACCGGGCCCCTTTTCGGCTGTCCCGGGGCCCGGTGAGGGCTCCCAGCAGAAGCGGAGAGAAACAAAAAAAGCCGTTGGTCGCTACTTCTCGTCGACCCCCTGGGGGGGAGGGGAGGGGAGGGGAGGGGAGGGGAGGGGAGGGAGGGGAGGGGAGGGGGGTCTCGGGAGCCGCCCCCGCGGCTGCGCGCCTCGGCGGGGTGCGGCCCGCTGCCGCGCCGCCGCCACTGGCGCCCCGCGGAGCCGGCGGAGCCGCCGCCAGCCTCAGCAGCTGGGCTGTCTCGAGAGGGCGGGTGGGGGGGGAGGGCGACGAGATCTATACATATCCACTGCTCCCGGCCAGGCCAATCCTGGGCCCAAGAGCTGTGTATACGCCCTCCTGGCTTGGCCAGGGAGGCATATACACCGCTCCTGGGCCCAGGATGGGCCTGGCCAGGAGCAGTGGATATGCATAGATCTCGTCGCCCTAGGGACGCGGGGTCAGGGCCCTGACCCCAGGGTCGGCTCTCCCCGACGATAGCTCTGTCCAATCCGGGCGAAGTTCCTCGATCTCGGCTCCCCGGGCCCGTTATGGGGCCATGGGGCCATCAAAAACGGATCCCGGGCGCAAAACTACCCCCGGAGAAGGGGTCGAGGGACCCCTGCGAGGCCGCGGATGTTGAAGAACTCTCACAGGAGGATGTCAGGGCAGGGGGTGGTACCTCCACGCGACCTCGAGAAACAAATACAGATCGAGGCGGACTCTCTGCCCCGATATCGTGGCGCTGCACTTTCCTCACACTGGGCGTTTTCGTCCAAAAGTTCGGGCCCCGGGATCATCACAAATCGATCCGTCTCGAAAACTGTCGCAGAGAGATGGCGTCGAGGGTTCCGGTCATGATTTTTCGCGAGGTTGCAATGTGTTCGCAACGGCAGATCTCAGGGGGTCGACCGAGGGGGGTCATGGCTAGGCGATCGCCCCCTGGGAGGGTTACGGTTCAGCTGTGCGCGTGGAGGTCAGGGCAGAATCACCGACGACGATGGTGAGGCTGACGACGGTGCGCGGACGCCTTCAGCGACATCCAACTACGCCGAATGACATCTTGCGAAACCAGCGACATCCAGCGACCCTTAGCGACATCCATCGGCATCAGGCGACACTTGTTCGCGACTATCACCCCTCACACCTTGCGCGGAAGGTCGTGGAGGGCAGAATGGCACCTTTCGGAGGCGCGTCCACGGGGGAAGTCAGAGAGGGCAGGCCTTCTCAGAAGGCCGCGGGTCTTCTCTGAAGCCCGATTGCCTGCTGAGAAGCCCTCAGTGCCTGTGGCGAAGGCTCAGAACACGTGTATGCATGCTTGAGGCCCTCTGAGCCTACAGAGAAGGCCTGGTTGGAGAAGCGATGGATTCGGCTTGTGTCGAGAAGTGGGTTTTCTGATATGTATCGGGCTGGGGATGGGGGAGGTGGAGGAGGAGAAGGAGGAGGAAGAGGATGAGGAGGAGGAGAAGGAGAAGGACGAGGAAGAGAAGGACGAGGAAGACCAATGAGCAATGAACAATCCGCTGGGAATCCGCATGAGTTGCTTAAGGCCCACACCATAAATCTGGCAAGGATTCTGCGCGACCCGACTTCTTGGGGGGCGGACCAATCTTGAAAAGGGGCGGAGGAAAGATGCAAAGCAAGCGCTGCCCCCGAACGGCGGCGAACCTTCGGGCGCCGCGCAGGAGCACTTGAAGAAGCCGCCTAAAGGACAGACTCGTGGCTAGATCTACCATGCTTTTCTACTGCCCGTCCCCATCCGCGGGGCCCGCGTAGGAGCCACACTTACTGGGATCGGGGGAAAACCTGGATTCGAATGTGTATCACGAGTTCGTCAAGAGGCCGACTGAAACTAGAGCGCAATACCCGCTTCATGTGCTGTCTCGGATCATACGGCTTACCACAGTGCGTCGATACACGATGCATATCCCGATAGCCTGTCCTCTGCGCTACAGACAAGGGGGCTACATGCGCGATGCTTCATACAATGGCACGCCGTCTACTGCGCTACGGCTGAAAATATGGCATGAACTGCGTTACATACGGGGTGCACCGTCCCGCAGAGCGCGCACGATGTGAATGCCGCGGGCGCCCTCCAATTCTTCTCATCGTTTCTTCACGATCTCTTGAGCCTCACTATGCACCCTGTCGCATGTGACATCCCGTCGCACACAAATCAGTAGTAAGCTGACACATCTGTCCAAACCACCACTCCACTGCAGATCAGGAACTGACCGAAATGGCCTTCGAGACCTCTACAGGGAACACGCGTCAGCCGTCGTCGTGGTGCCATCCTGGGTGAATATGAGCAGCCTTTTTAAACCGATGCCGTGGGCCCGAAATCGTAGCATGTCTCTCCTGCACGCACGTGCTGCTGACCAGAACCACTGCCTCCTCAACAAGCGTTGTCCGCCGAAGCTCTCCACGGTAACGCTGCGATCCAGGCTTGCTTGGTCCGAGTGTCACATTTGCATGCAGGGCGGGCGGCGCCCATGGCCCCGGCCCACAGCGCTCCAAAGATCCTGTTGACTTGTCGCACCTCGGTCGGCGCACCCATCCTCACTGTCAGGTCGGTTTCCTTCTGGTCCTTCCTCTGGGCCGCGCCAGGAAGAGTCCAAGCGCGCACGCGGGTGACCAAATCCCTGGCATGCGCTTGAGAGTCTGACGTGATACCATCGACCGTCGTGAAGTTGTGTCTTCGGCTCCGCAGTGGTAGTCTCAGGCACGTGCCGCTGGATCAGCGAGATAGCATGAAGCATGACGTTGAAGGGCCAGTGCAAGCAGAGGCCGAGAAACCCCGCGGTCCACACCTTCCCATTGTCAGTCTCACGCCTCGCATGTCTTTGCTCACCTCCAGACGACGAAGCATCCGATGCCGCAGACGGTGCCGATCTGCCCTGGGACACCTTTGCGGCCGATGCTGCCGCGCTGGAAGGCAGCAGCTGCGGGATCTGGTGCGACTGCTGCCTTCCGGCTGCGTGGCGTCGAGCACCAGCGGGCGGGCGTTATCATAGCGATTTGCGGTGTCATTTTCCGTCTTCCCAATGCTATGGCCAAGGTTGCTGATCTGCGTCTGGTTGCTGGCGATGCTGGCGCGCATCTCCAGCATGACGTTGTTGGTGGACATGGTCTCCTCGATGTTACCGAGGGAGTTCAGGACATGCACCATCGCGTCGCCATTGACTCTGGCGCCAACACGTCGAAAAGCTTTGATCTCACGGCTGCGGCTCCTACGAGATCTGGGTGTCCCACCAACCTTCTTCCATGTAAGAGGACGGGGTTGTGGCCGCCGCCGACGCAACAGCCGTGGCAAAATGCGGGTGTCACAACAGAAGCTCTATCAAATGGCCTGAACCCAGAATGGCTACGGAGGAGGCGGAGGAAGAGAAGGGGGAAAGGGGAAAAGGGTGCTTGGGGCAGCCGTATATAAACAACCCAGTCACAAGAGCTCCGTTCCCTGGCACCCGCCAAACTCGTTCTTTCCACCTGCGGCCCCAGACAATCTCGACCGCCTCCATCTTACCGTCCTTTCGTGCCGGATATCCAGTTCGGATGGTTCCGGGGAGCAGTCCACGAGGGCTGAAACCGAGGGAAAACGGCAGGGATGGAAAAACCCGTATCGTCGCAGATCTGGCGAGGGGGGAGATCGACCAGGAATCGGCGGTACATCGCCGATGGACCAGCAACAGGCCCCCGATGGCGAGCGAATCCGCGCGCTCCTGGACGGGGTGGGCCACCAGGCCCCTGTAGGCGATGAATATAAGCGATTCGGGGTCGATGCATCCCTCCCGGGGCCTATCCCGACCGCTCGTTGCCCCTGATTTTGAAGGGGCCCTGGGACACACAAATAAATACACACAAATTACACATTTTCCAAACAAAAACAATTTTTTGGGGGTTTTCGTCTTCCCGCCCACTTCCCATATTTTCCTATATTTTCTGCGGAATCAGTGATTAATTGCGTCTGTGTGCTTTTTTCCCTCCTAAGACTTGGACTCCCCGCGATTCGGGGGCGACGATCGGAGCTAATAGCCCGGGGGGGCCACACATGTATCCTGTGGTAGCGGCGGCTCTCCGTGCCGATGTGGTCTCGTGGATTGTCCCAGGGGACGGTGAGGCCGAAACTGGCGCCAGAAATGGCCAGAAGGCCGAACATGGCGGCCGAACATGGCCAGAAAGACCTCCCGTCGTGATTTGTTAACGACCCGGCCTCCCTCCCGGATCGCAGCCTCCGATCGATCCCCAGAGATCTGATGTTTCGTTTTTGTCAAATCCACAGGAAGTCCGGGCCAATTCCGCGGGCCGGTTCGACGACCCGAGTCGTTCGTTGGCGGTCCCGCGGCCAGGCAAGGGGTCCTACAGGTCGAACAACGGCGAAAAACCTCCGCCTTGATCTTTTCAACTCTTGCCGGTTCACCACCCCGAATCATGTTTTGACGGTCCCGCGGCCCGGCGACGGCCTCTATAGGCCGCACAACGTCGAAAGACCTCCGCCTTGCTCTCTATCCAGCGCTCTGGCTCTCTGGGCCCCCGACCCGCCTGCTGCGCGCGGAGGCGTCGCACGCCGCCGCCGCGGCAAAGCCGTCCCCCGCCGTCGACCGCACGGGAAACCGGAGAGTCAAGATGGCGTGAGCCCTCCTTCTCCTCCTCCTCGTCCTCGTCCTCCTCCTCCTCCTCTCTCCTTCCCTCCGTCCCTCCCTCCCACCTCCGCCCCGCCAGCGGCCTCCTCGAGCGCGCCTCCAGCCGCCGAGCGGCTGCCGGCGGCCGGCGCTCCGCCGGGCGGCTCGAGCTCGCGCCGCGCCTCGCGCCGCGGCCGCCTGGCCTCGGCCGGGGGCGGAGATGCCCGCCAGGGTGCCTCCCCCTGATACCCCGTGTCCCTCAAAAGTTTTGGGTCCCCGCACTACAGGTACCTCCCAGATTACGGGTACAAGTACCACCCCCCCCCCACCGACTACAGGTACCCCCTCCGGACTACAAGTGACCCCCCCCTCCCTGGACTACAAGTACCCCTCCCAGACTACAGGTACCCCACACGGACTACAGCTGCCCCCCAGGACTACATCCCCGCGTGCGTTGACGCGTGAACACGCGTTCCCCCCCAGACTGCAAGCATCCCCCCTGGATTACAAGTACCCTTCCCCCGGAATACATGTACCCCACCCCGGACTACTGGTACCCCCCCGGACTAGACGTAACCCTCCTCCGAACTACAAGTACCCTGGACTACAAGTGCCCCCAAAACTATTGAGGGACACGCAGTGCCCTTCGGCGACCAGAGAGGGGGGCAAGAGAGAGGGAAAAGGCCTGCTCAGAAGGCGGCGGGACTCCTCCGGCCTTCCGAGAGGTCTTACGTGTGATCGGGGAAGGCTTAGAAAACTGCTCAAAAGCCCGAGGACTCCCCAGCCTTCTGAGAACGCCCACCCCTTCTCCTTTCCTGCCCCACGCTCGCCGTTGACTGATACCCTCGCGTCGTGTAACAAGTCGCGATGGAGGGTGTGGTGTGCGACTGCGAAATCTCCTGCACATGTGCCCTCGGCGGGCCAATGCAAGACCGTCACGCAACGACTCGGCATGAAAAGCCGGTGCAGGGAAGAGAGTCCAGACGTCTGTGGAGCCACGGTGCGAAACAAATCACAGCGCCAAATGGTTGTGCACGCAATGCAGCGCGAACGGAAGATACGAACCGGAGGGTCGAACCGACCGTAGAATCCGTCGGAAGAGGATTGAGGCGAGAGAGTGAAAGCGTCCTGTTCCCTCCTGCAGCCCGTCGGCATTCGGGCTCGCTGTCCAATACCTGAACCGAGCGGATTGCAGGATAGATGGGTCGAAGGGGGAGATAAGCGGTCTGCACCCACATGCAGTGCCCAAAGGGGGGTACAGCATTAAAGCATTGAGGCAGGCGGCCTGGCAGGTGGATCGTTTCAGTTCAGATAGTTGTGAAAAGTCAAACATTCGTGAGGGCTCCGAAATACGAATTGTCTGGAAATTGCCTGGCGCTTCCGGGCGCCCCCGCGTGTCGCGATAGCCTTCCCGATGCTGGAACGATCCATAACTGCCCAAGGGGGTCCCTGGAAAGCCCGAAGACGGTCCAGGAAAGCTCCGAGAACGAGCCAGAGCTTTTCAATGTAGCCCAAGATTGCCTCAAGACTGCCCTAGGCCGCCAGAACGCCCAAGTACAGCTCCAAGAGCACGCCCAAGAGGGCCCCCAGAGGCAAAACTCAATGACTTACCCTGGGGCTTTCGAGAAATAAGTTCGCGCATTGCCTTTGTCGGGGTTCAAGCGCTCCAAGCCGGCCCAGTAGGCGTCCAATACCGAGTGAAAGGGGGTGGGGCGCGGCGACGGGCCCAGGGAAAGGGGTGTCAAACGCGACGGCGACGGCGACGACGACAAGGACGACGGCGACGACGACAAGGACGACGACGAACAGGACAGCGTCTTCCACAAGCCGACAAGATCGGCGGATTACTGAAGCATCGGGATGCTCCATTTGATGTGCTTCTCCATCTCTTCGCGGCCTTCTTGGAGGTTTCCGGGGCTCTCTTTGGGACTTCCTTGGCCGTCTTTGGGTCCCCCTCGTGGCCTTTTTGGGGTCCCCTTCTTGACGTCTCTGGGTATTTTCGACTCTTCAATCGAAAATCTCTTAGATCGGGCGGCTCTGGAGAACGTCTCGGGCGCCGCGGCCTTCTAAGAGCGTCACAAAGGCCCTGAGAGTGTGTTCGGAACGCTCTGGAACGAGTCTTATCCTCGTCCCAGCACCACCCGAGCACGCCTGGGCTGACACATGCCCTGAGCATCATCCACTCATCCCTCTCCCGAATCGTCTTGTTTGCCCCTGGGTCCGAAAGCGGATGCCAAGATCCAGAACAGCCTCAATGACACATCTGGCATTATGTCGGGCGTGTCCCCCTAAAGGGGGATTTTCGACGAAAAAAAAATACTCAAACAATGCCGCAAAAAGTTTTAAAAACACTCAAACAATAGTACCCAGACTAATTGTTTTTACTATTGTTTGATTATTGTTGGGAATGTTTTATCCTTCGTCGCGAATCCCCCTGTAGGGGGACAGGCCCGACCTAACCTAGGGTCATCGACTCGTCCCTCTCTTGAATCATCGTGTTTGCCCCTGGGCCCGCAAGCGGATGCCAAGATCCAGAGCACCCTCAATGACACGTTTGGCAGGGGGCGGCCGAGACCAAGCCAGGAGCCAATGAACCTGAGAACAATTTTGGGGGGTCCAGCTCAGGGTGGGAAAGATCAACCTGGAATTAGGTCGGGCCTGTCCCCCTACAGGGGGATTTTCGTCTGGGGACTATTTTCGAATGCTTTTGGACCTTTTGGGGGCAGTTTTGGAGTATGCTTTATTTTTCGTCGAAAATCCCCCTGTAGGGGGACACGCCCGACATAAGCTCAGGGTGGGAAAGATCGACCTGGAATCGGCTGTGCATCGCCGATGGGTCGGCAATAGGCCCCCGATAGCGAAGACAAAACGATCCCGAGCGGAATTGGCTATCGGGCCCCCTGTCAGCGATCAACCGGCGACTTGGGGACGATGCGTCCCCCCATGAGCCTGTCCAGGAGAAACCAAAAAGTACCGATACGGCGACTCCCCAGACCTCCCCCAGGGTGCGCACTGATCAGAGACTCTCTCGAGGGGATCCGGCGGAGGCGACGAGGGCCTCCCCAGAGGGCTCACAGTCACAAGGGCGGCAACGGGGGAAGGGCAGCTGTATGGGCACCCCTTCCCTTAGTGGGCCCCGGAATCGGCAGGGCCATTTTTTCATCGTTTCCGAAAATGTGTCCCTTGAAAATGGAAACGGGAAAAAAACGGCGACCGGAAACGGCAAAAAAAACGGCTCCAGGATTGGACCTGGAGCCGGAACCGGTCAAAATACGGCGTCGGAACCGGCAACAAAAACGGCAAAACGGAACCGGTAAAAAAACGGCCCTGTCGTTTCCAGGGCCCACTAAGCCCCTTCCCCCCCTGACTGTCTCCCCCCCCCGTGACGTGGCCCCCGAGAACCTCCTGCGCAACCGCGCGCTCCCGACTGGGCTCCGGGCCCGCTTGCCGGGCCGGCCATCCTCGGCCCGCGCCCGGAGCCGCGCGGCGAGCTCGGCCGTGGCCCCGCGGGCGCGCCGGGCGCGGCGCACGCCCATGGCCGAGGGGGGGGAGGGCCGCGAGGGCGAGAGGGAACCCTGCGCGGGACGTGCAGCGCAGGGGGCGGCGGAACGCCTCCCCATCCCGCCCTCAAAGGGAGATGCGAAGCCCCTGGAGACGGGGCGGGGTGGGCATGGGTTGGCATCATAGGCTGGCCCACCACCAAGGAGAAGCATCATAGCTCCTGCGTCAGTGCTCCAGATTTCGTAATAAAGGGAGGGGGGTCTCATTTCGGGGGGGGGTCTCTTCCAGGCTATCTTGGAGGGCCTGGTGGGTCTGGGGACGATGTTTTGGAGGGTTCTCCCACGGGGGAGGTCTGAAATGGCTTGTCTTGGAGGGTCCAGACCCCCTCCCTTTTATTACGAAATCTGGAGAACACAAGACTAATCCACTGACAGATCCAACTCATCTTCCGGTCATTGGCATCAATCTCGTGCGAAGCAGCATGCTCTCCCATCGAGTCATGAAACAAAAAATCGCGGCGGGAATATGTTCGCCATGTTCGGCCCCTGGGGGGCCCTCACCGGGCCTCGAGATCGGCGAAACACGACTCAGGAGGAGAAGCTGGTCCCGGAGAATGGACCTGCAGGGATCGACGTTCGGACAAAATCATGTCGTCGGGAGTATGGGGGGACGGGGGGGGGCTCCGTGGGCTTCTCTTGGAGAAGCGATTGAGAGGGAGGCAGCGATAGAGAGAGAGAGAGAGAGCTAAAGAGAGAGAGAGAGAGAGAGAGAGAAAGACACACACCCACACACACGCACGGATAAATATATCAAGAGAGAGAGAGGGAGGAAGGGAGAGCGAGAGAGAGATGTATAGAGAAACATTTCAAGACATTGGACATCAGAGGACTATGAAGTCGGATCAACGGGGGAGGAGGAGGAGCAATAAAATTGAGAGGCAAAGGGGAACGCAGAGGAGGATCATAAGGATCACCAGGGGACTGTTGGGAAGGATGTGCAAACGAGCGGTCGCAGTCGAACGCAGGTGGGGTTGCCACACCTTGCGATGTGCGTGTGTGCGCGGGGTGTTACACACCTTGCGACTACAGATGGCAAGAACCTCCGAAACCAATAGATGGAAGATGTCCCGAGCGACGCTGTCGTTTGAATGATATGGGGGCAACTTTGAATACGTTGAGCTTCAATGTTGTGATAATGCCTCTTTCTCTATCTTTTTGAAACGAGAGCGACGTGCAATTATCATTGAACACCATTGTGTTGTTTGACGGTTGCTTATGTGGGAAATTCCGACATCCCGTGTGTGGTTGGACGGTACTGTCGCCATCTGCTTGAGGGGTGCATCCGATTTTCAGAATGCTGAGGATGTCCCTAGCGAAACTACCAAAACTAATCGCGAACGCGACGGCTTAAATTAATCGCCTCTGAGCTCTACTTCCTCGGAGAGGTGCGTATGATTACGTAGCACCCCGCAGATGCGGATAAGAGTCTGGGGGCGGTGGGGACGTCGGCAGTCTGCGAGACTCTGGGGAAGCCAGCCGCAGGCGCCGAAGTTCCACGAAATATACATACAACGAGCCCGCCGCAGGCGCCGATCTGTTCTTCGAACAAATGTGGATCGGTCGCGGGTGGGTCGCGGGTGGGTCGGGGGTGGGTCGCGGGGTGGGTCGCGGGTGGGTCGCATGTGGGTCGCGGGTGGGTCGCGGGGTGGGTCGCGGATGGGTCGCGGGGTGGGTCGCGGGTGGGTCGCGGGGTGGGTCGCGGGTGGGTCGCGGTTTGGTCGTGGGGTGGTCGCGCGGTGGGTCGCGGGTGGGTCGCGGGTGGGTCGCGGGTGGGTCGCGGGGTGGGTCGCGGGGTGGGTCGCGGGGTGGGTCGCGGGGTTAGTCGCGGGGTGGGGAGCGGGTGGGTCGCGGGGAGGACGCGACGACAAACAACAACAGCAACACCAACAACGCAACAAGCATAATCCTCACTTCGGATCCTTTCTTCGTTCACGCACCCAGAGACAATGAATGACCGTTCGGCCCCCTCACTCTGATATCTCTATGTATAATGATTCACATCTACACACGAGTCTGCATAGAGGATATATACGCGCACATACGTAGCACCCCGCAGTTGCAGATAAGAGTGCAGGGGCGGCGGGGACGTCGGCAGTCTGCGAGGCTCTGGAAAAGCCCGCCGCAAGCGCAAACAAATCCGAACTATACAACAAGCCCGCCGCAGGCGCCGATTTCCTGCTAAAACAGTGTAGGTGGGTCGCGGGTTGGGTCGCAGAGGGGTCGCGGGGTGGGTCGACGGTGGGTCGCGGGTGGGTCGCGGGCGGGTCACGGGGTGGTCGCGGGTGGGTCGCAGGTGGGTCGCGGGTGGGTCGAAGGCGGGTGAGTCGCGAGCGGGTCGCGGGGTGGGTCGCGGGTGGGTCGCGGTTGGGTCGCGGGGTGGGTCGCGGGTGGGTCGCGGAGTGGGTCGCAGGTGGGTCGCTGGCCGGGTCGCGGGGGGTGACGACGACAACAAGCAACAACAACATCAACATGGTACGAAGATCTCCCGCGAGCCCCGGGCTCCTTCCTCCAAAGGTACGAACACGGCCCGCAGACCCTGTACACATAGTTCCTCGCCCCCCCACAGAACAAAGAACCCAGCCCGAATATATATATATATATATATATATATATATATATAAATCTTCGGCATTCCATCGGGATCCTTGAGGCAACCAACGCATTCCAGGGAGCTGAAACCATGTGCGCGTTAGCACGCCTCCGATTCCTGGGGAATCCCTAAGACTCCCCCAGAATCCTTCGGGAATCCTTCGGGAATCACTAGGGAATCCTACGGAATCCCAAATAATCCATACGGGATCAGAAACATCCGAAAGATCCTAGGGGATCCATCGGAATCCCGAGGGAATCCAACGAATCCATCGGATTCCTTCAGGAATACTAGAAATTCAGAAGGAATCCGCAGGAACCCCTAGGGCATTCAATAGGACTCCTAAAGAATCCATATGAATTCTACGAATTCTAGGGAACCCAATGGAAGCCAATGGAATCCTACGGAACCCGATGGAATCCGATGAAATCCCAAGGGGTCCTACAAATCCGAAGAATCCTCGGGAATCCGAGGAATTCTAAGAGAATCCGGGGAACCCGAAGAATCCTGAGGAATCCTGCGGTTCCTCAGGATTCCAGGGGGCCCTAGGAATCCTGAGGAATCATAAGAATTCGAAAGAATCATCGAGATGCCAAAGAACATGAAGAATCATAATAATCCAGAGGAGTCGCTAAGCAACCACAGGAATCCCGAGCCAATCCCAGGAGTCTTGGGACTTCCCACGGAATACTAGCAACCCTGGGTGTCCCTACGGGATCTTAAGAATCCTGGGAATCCCTACGGAATCCTTCTGAATCCTTCGGGGATCCGAAGACCTCTCCCCGATGGAACCCTAAGAATCGCCAGGGAACCCTAGGAACCGTCAAGATAAAGAATCTTCGGACCCCTACTAAAGAAACATGGGAATCCCTTTGGGAATCCTCTGGATCTTTGGGGATCCTCAACAAATCCCAAGGATTCCTAGGATTCCCTAACAATGAATGTTAGGTATCCTTTGGGAATCTTGGGATTCCCAAAAACAACACCTTTAGGACATCGTATGAATCCTGCGAAGAAGCATTGGAATCCTTGGGGAAGCATGAGACTCCCTA